GTTTTTTTTTTTCCTTTTTCCCTCGTTTTCCTCATTTTTCTCCCCATCTCCCCCAGTTTCACCCCCCTTTCTCCTTTTATTTTTAATTTCCCCTTTTTATTTCTCATTCCCCTTTTATTTCTCATTTCCCCTTTTTATTTCTCATTCCCCTTTTAATTTCTCATTTCCCCTTTTAATTTCTCATTTCTCCCTTTTTTCTCATTCCCCCTTTTTATTCCTCATTTCCTTTTCCTCCTTTTCCTTCTCATTTTTCCTGTTTTTTTTTCCTTCTTTCCTCCCCTTTTCCTCATTCCCCCTTTATTTTTTCCCTTATTTTCCCCTCCCCTTCCCCCAATTTCCTTTTGCTCTTTTTTCTCTTCTCATCCCCCATTTTTTTCCTTCCCCCTCTTTTTCCCATTTTTTTCCCATTTTTTTTTCCCCATTCCCAATTTTTCCCCTCTTTTTTTCCCCCTTTCCCTCCCCACCTGGAGGATCCCACCAACCCCACCCACCACCCTTCCCAGCGATGCCGTTTTCCCACAACCCCCAAAATCTCCCAGAACTCCTCCGGGATCAGGAAGGGTGGGGAAAGGCTCGGGAAAATCCAGGGAAAAAGCGGGACAGACTCGAGAGGAGCCACAACTACAACAAAGAACCTCCACAAGTGTCTATTTACAAATCCACACCGAAGGGTTTTGGGCTTGGAGGGTTGTTTTTTTTTTTTTGCATATCCCAAAATTATCCAGTGCTGCCATCCCAGCCCGGATCCAGGTCCCTCTGGCACATTCCCCAGGGGAATTCCCTGCCCCAAATCCCAATTTGCTGCTCCCAAGGAGGAAGGGGGGGGATGGAAATCCATAGGGAATATCACAGCCCCCCCTTCCCCCACTCCCCCCATTCCCACCTGGATCTGGGGCCCTCCAGCACCTTCCCAAAATTCCAATTTTACTGCCCAAGGGGGGAACAAGAGGGACACAAATCCATGTGGGACACAAATCCATGGGGAACACAAATCCACAGGGAACATTCCAGGCCTTCCTTCTCTTCTGGATTTGGGTCCCCCCAGCACCTCCCCAGTGGGATTCGCTCCCAGATCCCGATTTCCCTGCCCTGGGAAGAGCTGGAGGGACCCAATTCCAAAGGGAGCATCACAACCCCCCAATTCCAACCCGGATCTGGGTCCTCCCAACACCTTCCTGGTGGGAATTCTCTTCCCAGATCCCAATTTACCTCCCAGGGAGAACTGGAAGGATCCAAACCCACAGGGAGCAACACAATTCCAACCTGCATCTGGGTCCTTCCAACACTTTCCCGGTGGGATTCTCTTCCCAGATCCCAATTCCCCCTGCCCGAGGTGGGATCCAATTCCCCAGGGATCCCCCCCCTATTCCCACATTCCAACACCGACAGCTCCGCACTGGTTAAACAAGAAAAAAAAATCATCAAAAAATAAAATTATTTAAAAAAAAACCCCACCCCAACCCTCCCTCAAGGCTGTGGGGAGCCAATCCACACCCCCCAGGATTTAGGATTCCTGCCTAAAATTCAAGCTTCCATGTTTTTTGATTTTTTCTTTTTTTTTTTTCTCTAAAATATTTAAAATTCCCGAGGGTCAGGGCACGTCACAGAAACCTAATTAGCATCCTTCCTCCCATCCAACACCTGGAATTATCACTTGGATTCTGCCTATATATATATATTTCAATTTTTTTTTTGTCTCTTTTTACTTTTTTTAAATATATATATATATATATATATACACACATTTTTGTTTTTGTTTTTCTTACAAAAATAAATTTAGGCTTTTTTTTTTTTTCTTTTTAATATTATTTTTTTTTCTCTGTAGAAGCTTTTTTTTTTTTAAGTTTTTTTTTTTCACCTGTAAACATCTTGAATTTTGCTTTTTTTTTTTTTTAAATTAAGATAAAGTGAGCTCAAAGTACCCGTTCCATCGCAAAGTGCTAAGACTTCTTTGTTTTTTTTTTTCTTTTTTTTTTTAAATTATTTATTATTATTTTTTAGCCTTTTTTTTTTTTTTGAGGGGGATTTTTTTATTGCTTTTTTGTGTTTTTTTTATTTATTTTTTTTTCTGCATTAAATAAACATCCATCTCTTTCCCCCACCCCACCCCCACAAACCCAACCACTCATCCCACCCTATCCCAACACACTCTCCCCCTCTCTCTCTCTCTCTCTCACTCCCTCTCCAAAATACATTCTTCCAAATCTGCTCTTTTTGCTTTTGCAAAAGTAAAAACACCAAAAAAAAAATCAAAAAAAAAGAAAAAGAGGAAAAAAAATCACCCCAAAACTTCCCCCCCTTCCCCTCCCCCAGCAAAAAAATTGAACTTTAAAATAAAAGGAAGAGAATCTAAAAAGTGCTTCGAAAATAAAAGGGCTTTTAAAATCTCTCTTTTTTTTTTCTTTATATATCATTTAAAAATGTGCATTTTTAGAAAACAGGTGACCAGCTCAAAGGTGCCTTTTTTTTTTTTTTTTTTCCCACCCCCCCCTCTCCTCCCGAGGGTCGGGACCCGCCTCTCCAGCCATAAATCTCTCTCTATATATATATTTATTTTTGGGAATGAGGCTGGGGGGTTGCCAAGGCTTTCCCCTCCCCCCTTCCCAAAGGTCTCCTTTAAGGGAAACCAAAATAACCTTTTTTTTTTTATTTTTTCCCCAAAGGAATTTGCCGTTTCGAGGCGTTTTTTTTGGGGGGTTGGGAATGAACCTGGGGGAGGGGAAAAAAAAAGGGGGGTTTGGGCACCCCCAGCCCCGAATTCTGCCGGCAGGGGGGGCTGGGGCTGACTCAGGCACTTCCCGGGGTGGGGATGGATGTGGGGACGTGGGATGGACACGGGGATGGACACGGAGCTGGTGACCCCATCCGGGGTGTTCCCAGCTTTGGGTGGGTGTCCCCAGCTCCAGGTGTTCATATCCATGGGTGTCCCCAATTTGGGTGTCCCAGGGTGGGATGGATGTCCCCAATCTGGGTGTCCCCATACTGGGTGTCCCATCCCAGGGTGGGTGTCCCCAATTTGGGTGTCCCCATATTGGGTGTCCCATCCTGGGATGGGTGTCCCCATATTGGGTATCCCATCTCAGGGTGGGTGTCCCCAATTTGGGTGTCCCCATATTGGGTATCCCCTCTCAGGGTGGGTGTCCCCAGTTTGGGTGTCCCATCCTGGGGTGGGTGTCACCAATTTGGGTGTCCCCATATTGGGTGTCCCCATACTGGGTGTCCCATTGCAGGGTGGGTGTCCCCATATTGGGTGTCCCATCCTGGGATGGATGTCCCCAATCTGGGTGTTCCATCCCAGGGTGGGTGTCCCCATACTGGGTGTCCCATCCTGGGATGGATGTCCCCATATTGGGTGTCCCATCTCAGGGTGGGTGTCCCCAGTTTGGGTGTCCCCATATTGGGTGTCCCCATCCCTGGATGGGTATCCCCAATTTGGGTGTCCCATCCTGGGGTGGATGTCCCCAATTTGGGTGTCCCCATCCTGGGGTGGGTGTCCCCATATTGGGTGTCCCATCCCAGGGTGGATGTCCCCAATCTGGCTGTCCCATCCTGGGATGGATGTCCCCAATTTGGGTGTTCCATCCCGGGATGGGTGTCCCCAATTTGGGTGTCCCATCCCAGGGTGGGTGTCCCCATATTGGGTGTCCCCATCCTGGGATGGATGTCCCCATATTGGGTGTCCCATCCTGGGGTGGATGTCCCCAATTTGGGTGTCCCCATATTGGGTGTCCCCATCCCTGGATGGGTGTCCCCATACTGGGTGTCCCATCCTGGGATGGATGTCCCCAATTTGGGTGTCCCATCCCCGGGATGGATGTCCCCAATTTGGGTGTCCCCATCTCAGGGTGGGTGTCCCCAGTTTGGGTGTCCCCATCCATGGGATGGGTGTCCCCATATTGGGTGTCCCATCCTGGGGTGGGTGTCCCCATATTGGGTGTCCCCATCCCAGGGTGGGTGTCCCCAATATTGGGTGTCCCATCCTGGGGTGGTTGTCCCAAATTTGGGTGTCCCATCCTGGGGTGGGTGTCCCCAATTGGGTGTCCCATCCTGGGATGGATGTCCCCAATTTGGGTGTCCCCATATTGGGTGTCCCATCCTGGGATGGGTGTCCCCAATTTGGGTGTCCCATCCCAGGGTGGGTGTCCCCAATTTGGGTGTCCCATCCCGGGATGGATGTCCCCATACTGGGTGTCCCCAATCTGGGTGTCCCATCCCAGGGTGGGTGTCCCCAATCTGGGTGTCCCATCCCTGGCTGTCCCCACCCCTGCCTTGTCCCCACCTCGGGGTGTCCCCAGCCCTGCCAAACTTGCTGCCTCCTCCTCACATGATTTTTTTTTAGGCGATTTCCAGCCATTTTGGGCCGTTTCCCACCCGGAGCCTTCGCTGCCAAACCGACCCTCGCCCGGGGGGTGGGGCTGGGGGGACAGACCCCAAATCCTGACCCCAATTCCCCCCGGGGATGCAGCTCCCCCAGCTCCTCCCAGGGGCTGCAGGGACACCCCTGGCACCCCCCCCAGATCCCAAATCCCGCCCTGCCACCACAGCCCTTCCGCTCCTACCGCTCCTCCTTTTTTGTTTTTTTAATCTATTTTTTTTCTTTTTATTTTTTTGTCTTAAATAGATCTCTTTCTCTCTCTCTCTCCCTCTCTCTCTGAAATAAGCTTTTTTTTTTTTTTAAAACACACGTTTGGACACAAAATAAAGCTTTGGATTTACATGGAAGCTCTTTTCCATGCCGACAGAGCCACTTTCCATCCCCACCTCGTGCTTTCCTTTGCCTTTCCAAGAAAAAGGTCCTTGGCTACGAGGGATCCTCCGGGAGGGGAGTGGGTGGGTGGGTGGGGAGGAATCCCTGCTTTTTTTTTTACGATGGGAAAGGTTGGAAACGTAATATATATATATATAATATAATCTTTTTTTTTTTTTATTTTTTTCTTTTTTCCATTTTTTTTCTTTTTTTTTTTTTCCTTAAAAAAAAAAAAAAAAGAGAAGGGGGCGGAGGTGGGGGGAGAGAAACATGTTTTTGTGGTTTTTTTTGTTTTTTTTAAAGAGAAAAATCGGAGGGAAAAAAGTACTAACTAGATTTTTGTGACTTGGTTCGTTTTTCCGGGTGTGTGGGGTCTGTTTGTTGGTTTTTGTTTTTGCGTTTTGTTTGTTTGTTTTTTTGGTTTAGGAGAGTCCTTGCGCGTTACCCTCATCCGACCCTCCTCCTCCTGCTACATTCAATCCCGGCGCTTCGTCATGGTTTGAATTCTCCTCAAAGTGCTGCTGCTCCTGGTCGTTCCCTTGGGATGGGGGGGTGTCCTCGGATTCCTGGCTCTCCCCACCGGCCGCAAAACTCCCGCCGTCTTCGGCGGCGCCCGTCGGGGTGGGCGGCAGCGCCCCGGCCCCGTCCCTCACCCGCGGCTTGCGGCCCCTCCGCGAGGGGATCCCGTTGCATCCATCTTTTTTAAGGTGCCTGTGCAAGTGGTCGGAGCGGACGAAAGTCTTGCAGCAGCTTTCGCACTGGTAGGGCCGCAGCCCGGTGTGCACTCGCATGTGGTTCTTCAAGTCGTAGTTGTGGGCGAAGGCGGCCCCGCACTGCTGGCACAGGTACGGCTTCTCCCCCGTGTGCTTCCGCATGTGCACCTTCAGCTTGTCCTGCCTGCGCGGGGGACACCGGGGGGGGACACGGGGGAGTCAGTCTGGGGGTGCTGGAGGGGTGGAGGGACAGGGGGGAGGCAGTTTGGGGGTCCTGCAGGGGATGGGTGGATGTGGGAAATCAGCTTGGGGGTCCTAAAAGGAATGGCAGGACAGGGGATAGAGGGGAGTCAGCCTGGGGGTGATGCAGGGGATGGATGGATGGATGGATAGGGGAGAGGGGAGAGTCAGTTTGGGGGTGCTACAGGGATGGATGGATGGATAGGGGAGAGAGGGGAGTCAGTTTGGGGGTGCTGGAGAGGGTGGAGGGACAGGGGGGAGTCAGCCCAGGGGTCCTGAGGAGGATGGCAGGACAGGGGAGAGGGGGGAGTCAGCCTGGGGGTGCTGCAGGGGATGGATGGACAGGAGGGAGAGTGGGGGAATCAGCCCAGGGGAAGGGATGGACAGGGAAGAAGGGGGAGTCTGGGGGTGCTGTGGGGGTTGGATGGATGTGGGAAATCAGCCTGGGGGTCCTAAAAGGAATGGCAGGACAGGGGATAGAGGGGAGTCAGCCTGGGGGTGCTGCAGGGGATGGATGGATGGATAGGGGAGAGGGGGGAGTCAGTTTGGGGGTGCTGGAGGAGGTGGAGGGACAGGGGGGAGGCAGCCCAGGGGTCCTGAGGAGGATGGCAGGACAGGGGAGAGGGGGGAGTCAACCTGGGGGTGCTGCAGGGGATGGATGGATGGATAGAGGACAGGGGGGAGTCAGTTTGGGGGTGCTGGAGGGAAGGATGGATATGGGAAATCAGCCTGGGGGTGCTGCAGGGGATGGATGGACATGGGGGATCAGTCTGTGGGTCTGGTGAGGCTGGATGGACACAGGATAGTGGAGGGAGTCAGCTCAGGGCTCTGGGGGGGCTGGATGGACGTGAGGGGTCAGTTTGGGGGTGCTGGTTGGACAGAGGAGAGCACAGGGGTCAGCCTGGGGGGTCCCACACAGAGAGAGGTCAGGGGATGGGGGGGAAATCAGCCTGGGGGTCCTGGATGGACAGGGGAGAGTAAGGGGGTCAGCCCAGGGGGGTCTGGGGGGCCTGAGTGGCTGCCTGTGGGGTGGGGATGGCACGGGGTGGTGGGGTGGGCACAGCAGCATGGTATGGGGTGGAGCAACAGCTGAGCCCTGGTACAGGGCTGGGCATCACCTGGTGTGGGACTGAGCATCTCCCAGTATGGGACTGAGCATCTCCCAGTATGGGATGGAGCACTGACAAAGGGCTGAGCACTGGTAAGGGTCAAGCATCATCCAGTATGGAGCTGAACACTGGTACAGGGCTGAACATCACCCACTATGGGGCTGAGCATCATCCAGTGCAGGGCTGAGCAGGGGTACAGGGGGCTGAGCAGGGCTGTGGGGTCACACAGTGCCCATCTCAGGTCCAGCTGGCTCCTGCAGGGCCAGCACAGCCCCAGTTTGCCAGGGCCAGGGAAGGGCAGTTGGAGCAGCCAGGCCAGGGAAGGGCAGTTGCAGCAGCCGGGCCCGGGGCCAGCAGGGCCACATGAGCCACTGCTGCTTCCTGGAGGAAAAAACCCAGGCCCAGAGCACGTGGCGAGGGAGAGAGGAGCCCCTCCCGCCCCCTCAAGGGCCCTGCTTGACCCTGCCCTTGCTCCAGCCCCATCCTTCTCTCCTCTCCTGATGTGGAACACACAGATCCACACCCCACACGGCCACCCTCTGTCTTCACCCACAGGGCCCCCAAAACCCTAAACCTGCAGGGAAAGGATCCAAACCCCAACTGGGGTCGTGGCCACCTCCGAGGGGCGGCCTGGACGGAGCCCCAGAGGGGATGGAGCAGCACAGCGAAACTGGCCTTTGGAAATTCAAATTGTTTCGTGTTATAAAACCCCCCTTCTCTCTTTCTCTCTCTCTTCTCTCTGCCTTCCCTTCCTTATCTGCTGCTCCTCCCCCTGTGACCGCACAGGAACCAGGAAGCAGCAGGGAGCAGGAACGGGTGGGAATGCAGGGAACACCCGGCTCCAACAGCCCCGGCTCGTCCTCCTGCCTCGCCCCAGAACCCCCTGGTGGAGCAGGGGCTGCTTTATCCCCACCCGTGTCCAGGCTCCCCAGGAATGGGGAAGGGATTTTGTTCCCCAGCAATGCGGGGAACTGGTGGGGTGATGAGGATGGGGAAGGAACGCCGAGGGATAACAAAACCGAGGGGACATCAAGCTCAGGGCACATGTGACAGGGAGCAGCAAGGCCGAGCACAGCTCCCTGTTCCTATCCAGGCCTCTCCATGCCCAAATCCCGGCCGTGGGAAGAAGCAGGAAGGCTGTGTTTTGCCTGGAAGGGGGGGTTTTAGGGAAGCACCTTGTTTATAGGGGCTGGGAGACAGCTCCCAACCTGCTATCTGCAGTGCCAGGCCCTCCCAGGTGCCAGCAGGGAGTAAGTCCCCCATCCAAATCCCACGGAATGGGGGCGAGATGGAAAAGGGAAGGGGTGGCACTGCCTCACTAAAAATCCCCATGTCTCCCCTCGTCTCCCCCTTGCCACCACTCCCAGTGGCACCAGCTGCCAGGCACCCCGTGGCACCTGCACATCCTGCTGCTCCCAGGAGCACGCCAGGCCCCCCCCAGGATCCCGTGCAGGGGGTGTGGGATCAGCCCCCCAGGCCCCCGGAGCAGGGAGGTGCCGCGTGGCAGGGCCGGGGGAGCGGGGAGGGTTGGGGTTGGCATCCTGCCCCCGCCATTATCTGCATTCCTCAGCTCTCCAACGTGGGCTGGGTGCGGCCCTGCCCAGGGGAAGGGGCAGGGTACGGCCTCCTGCCCAGCGGCACAGCCCCACCGGCCTCGAGGGGCAGCCCCAGGGACCACCCCAGGGCACGAGGGGCTGGTCCTGGCAGCAAAGCAGCGGGCACTGGCACAGCTGGGAATGACCAGGCAGCCAGGGAGCAGGCAGGGAGCAGGCAGGGAGCAGGCAGGGAGCAGGCAGGGAGCAGGCAGGGAAGGCTCCTGGGCCAGGCAGCCCACGCAGCCCTCGGCAGGGCCGGGGGGACAGCGGGGTGGGAGTGGGGTGGGACCTCCAGCCCGGCACAGCCACGGCAGCCGCAGAGCCCGGAGAGAGGAGGCGGCGCCGCGACGCTGGGACGGGAGCGAACCGGAGGAATCCAAACAATATCCCCTTTCTTTGGCGTTCCCGTGGCCAGGGAAGGAGCAGGAACCCTGATTAGAAACAGGGCCCAGGCCAACGCCCCCGGGAGCTGCAGCAGGGGCAGCTCAGGGCACGGTGTGCCAAGGACACCGACAGCACGAGGTGCAACCTCCTTCCAACCCAACCACCGACGCTGCAGCCACCCCAGGGAGCCACTTCCAAACGGCTCTGGCCTCGGCCACCATGCAGAGGTGAAGAGCTGCAGCTCTGTTCCATCAACCACATCCCTTGGCCTCCTCAGAATCCCGGCTCTGGCCGGGTTTCCAGCAGAGCTCAGCCCTTCAGGACAGAGGGACACCCAAACTGCTCATCTCCCTGGAAAGCTCTGGCCTGCCTACCTTGGTGCCTGGGTGCTAAGATGGAAATGAGTGGAGCAGGAGAGATAAAATCACCTGAGAGGGAAAGGGCCGAGCTGGTTTTGCGGGAGAGCCAAGTCAAGGGCAGAGCTGGATTTGTGGGAGAGCCCCCCCTGCAGCCCCCCAGCCCATACCTGGTGAACCGCACGTTGCAGATGTTGCACTCGTAGGGCTTCTCCCCGGTGTGGGTGCGGATGTGGCGCGGCAGCTTCCCGGCGCCCTGGATCACCTTCTCGCAGATGGGGCACTTCTGGAATGCTTTGGCCCTGATCTTCTTCTCCTTCTGGGACCAGGACGGGTAGACGTCGCCCTCGTTCGAACTGCCGAAGTATTTCAAGTAATAATCCATGACCCCGTCGTCGTCCTTGCGGTCGTCGTCCCCGAGCTGCTGCCGCCCCACCGAGTTGATCATCTGCTGCAGGAGGGCGCTGGCGGCCAAGTCGTCCACCTCCCGCGCGTCGTCCTCCGTCTCCGCTCCGGTGGGGATGAAGCCGGGCGAGTCGCCGGCTTCCTGCGGGTCCAGAGGCCCCCGGGGGGTCCCCCCCTCCTCTTCTCCCGGCGTGGCCAAGCCACGGCTGCTGTAATGTCCGTTCTGGGAAGGCGAGAACATGCCGCCGGTGACCGGCTCCTCCTCCTCCCGGTCCAGCCACATGGCCGGGTTGCTGTCAGGGTCACAGTCACTTGCCTTTGGTCTTTCGGTTGGGGTGGCCTGCGAGTAGAAGTCCAGGCCGTTGCAGTTGGACTCCTCCTCCTCCTCTTGGCCTCGGAAGTTCAGTCTCTGAAGGTCTCTCAACTCTGGGTTGGTCCACGGAAAGCTGCCTTGGTGGCCGTTGACGGGGTTGCTCTGGAAGAACTCCAGGTACTCTTTTGCTCTGAGATGGTTCCTCTGATCAATTTGATCTACTGTATCCATCTGGTCATTTTTGGCCAGAATCTTCCTGTCCAGGAGATCCGTGCAGACATCCCTGACGGCCGGGATCTCCAGCAGAGTGGCCGCGTTGAGGATGTCGTTGACGTTCGAAGTGCTGACGGTGAGGGTCGCGGTGTAGGCGAACTCCAGCAGCGCCGACAGGGCGTCCGCACTCACAAAGTCTATCTCATACACGTTTTGCTGGTCCACCACTAACCCTGAGGTGAAGAGCTTCTTGAAGTACTGGCTGCACGCCGCCAGGACGGAGCGGTGGGTGGGGAACTCCTGGCCTTCCACCAGGATGACCACGTCGCACAGCAGCCCGTTGTTCCGCTGCTCGTTCAGGCTGCTGAGGATGTCGCTGCTGTGATCCGGGAACGGGATCCCTATGGGGCCGTCCACGCCACCCGCCATCTTCCACGCAAAAGGCTGCGGAGGAGGAAGGGGAAGGCAGTGAGTCACAGCCTGGAGGCATCACATCCACGGGAGAACCCCCGAGGAACGCGCCCGGCAGCACCAGCCGTGCCTGTCCCTCTCCGTGTCCCTGAGCCTGCCACCCTGCCTGGCTTCATCCTCCACAGGTGAGGATGGACCTGTGCTTACCTTCACTCCTGGAGGGAGGAGGAGGAGGAGGAACAGAGCCCAGGTGCTCTTCACTCTGGGGAGCACCAACCACCCCAAGGTGGCAGAGATGACCTGAAACCCTCGAACCTCCACCTGCTGCACCTTCCCGGGAACAGGAGAGAGGAAGGGCATTGGGATGACCAAGACCCACATCTCGGAAAGGCTTCACCAGAAGCAGCTGTTCCTCCCCATGGACAAGAGGAATAAAGTCACCCCTGACAGATCCACTCGACTCCAAAGAACCGGAAAACCCAGAGGGATTCCCTTCACTGGGGGCCAAATGTGGCTTCACTGCCAGCCTGAACAAGCCCCTAATTCTCCCGTGATCCCACTCCTCTGATGTCAAAAATCAGGGATAACGTTTCCCACCTCTCCACCTCCAGCAGCAAATCCACGTGCTCCTTGCAGCAGCCCACAAATCAACATCTTCCCCTCCCTTCCTTCACCAGAAGCCAAAAATTCCACGTACAGGTCGGGTCCCAAACCACCCTGGCACAGAAGCCTTGAGTATCCAAGCCCCTGGTTTCTAGGTTTTCAGGGAAACTGAGGCACAGCAGGACGTGGCCTGTCCCACACCACAGGGGGGGATGGATGAGTCAGGACAGATCCAAACAGGAGTCATTATCCAGGAAGCAACTCCCAGCACCGGCTTCTAGCACAGAGCAGGAGACTGGGTTGCACAACGCCAGCTTTCCCCCACCCACCCTCCGTCCTCCTCGGTAGTTTTCCATATTTACTTCTTTCTTCAAAAGTTTCCTTAATCCCAAAAAAATAAAATTTATTTGCTGCACCTTCCTGTTTGCTACAAAGAAGAGGCAGGAGGGAGGCAGGTCCCAGGCTGAGGAGCAGGGATCAGGAAGAGATCCCTTGATATTCCACAACAGCCCGGGGTTCTGCTCCCAGCAGGAATGGGATGGGGGTAAGGAAGAGGGAGGATCCAGGGTAGCTGGGCTGGATGTGCAGGGCAGGCACAAACACTGCCCATCACGACCAAAGGTGGCTTCCTGAGACACCTGGAGCAAGGGATGGACTCCAGAGTTTCCTCCTGGGCTACAGGATTTGACCTCCAAGCTCTAATTTCAGGGATTTTTAAATCCTGGTGCTGGCAGGGAGGGAAAGGCTGTTTCCAAGTCCAGGATTGCTCTGAATTCAGGCTCCAGGTGTGACCTTGGGCGAGGTCACCTCATCCCAGAATCCCCAGGGGATCAGAGGGACCCCTCCTGCCTCCCGAGCTGAGCTTCCAGGGGAGGCTCCCACTGCCTCAGTCCCAGAGCTCCCCAAAACCCCCCTGCTCGGAGCCACCACCCTAAAATAACATTAAACCCTCCCCTCTCCCCTTCCCATCTACATGAGATGCTTTACAAAGGATTTTTCCTCCCACAAAAAAGCCAATTTGAGCCACAGGAAGCTCCGTCGGTGCCGATCCCGGCTCTGGGGGGGACCAGGGAGCAGCCAGGCCATCCAGGGAAGGTCACACATCCCCCTCCTCCAGCCTGGGGGCCGGGATAATCGGCTGGACAGTGTGGGAACGGCTGCAGGGTCATGAGACTGCCGAGGGCTGGCCTGGAGAGTTGTCCAATTTCTCCACTCATTCTCCTCGCACAACACGCCCTTTGTGTCCCTCGGCTGCGGTGGCCGAGGACGTCGGGGGGCAAAGGGGGGTGTTTTGAGCCCCCCAGGAATGGATTTGGGGCCTGGGTGCTCCAAGCCACACCCAGAGCCCTTAAAATCCCACCCCCTTCCCTTTCCAAGGGGCTGAACGTCCCAGATCATCCGAACCTGGGAATTACTGATGGGAGATGGAGTCTTTCCACCTTATGGATTTGGGAGCTTTTTTGGGGTCTTCTGCCTCATGGTTCCACCCCCCCCAAGCCCTAAACCCGCTGTCTGCTCCCAGCAGGAGCCACAGGGGCGGGATGGGTGAAATCCACTTGGAAAAGCCCTGAGGGCCAGGTGACAAGTGACAAAAGCCGCTGGCACAACCACCGGCTCGTCCCCTCCTTGGCAAGGAAAAGGTCTGAATGGGCCACCAAGGGGGAGCTTCAACTACTGACCTAAATTTCCCAGGCAGCTCCATTCTCTCCCTGCCCGCTCCGAGGAGTTCCACGGCGCTGTCCCAGACCGGGCGGCTCTGCAGGGCTCCGAGATGCCACATTTCACCCCAAAGCAGCTGCCTGGGAGAAGGTTGGGAATGGCCTCCTCACATCCAACGGAATGGGGGAACCGTCAACTTAAAAATACGGCCCCGTGTGAAAAGAGGGTTTGTGACGAGCCCGGAGCCCCGCGAGGGATTTACGAAGGTGATTTACGGACCTGGCGTGACACCACGCGCAGCCCCAGCCCCGCTCTGCGCCTCCCAAACACCAACACGAGGGAGCTCGGGCTGTTCCAGCTCCACAGGTCAGTCCAGCACACACGCACAGCCCCGATTCCAGGCAGGAAAAGCGGATTTGGATTGGATGCTGAACGCCGTGGGAGCAAGGGATGTCCTCCAGCTCCCCGAGCTGCTGATTTCCCACCAGCACCAACCGCCCTCTGATGCTGCTCCTCAGCACTAAAACACAATCCCAGGATCACTGAGGTTGGGAAAGACCTCCAGGATCATCCAGTCCAAGCTGTGACCCATTCCCACCTTGTCCCCCAGCCCAGAGCACTGAGGGCCACGTCCACTCACTCCTTGGACACCTCCAGGGGTGGGGACTCCAAACCTCCCTGGGCAGTCCCTGCCAAGGCCTGACCGACCTTTCCAGGAAGAAATTCCTCCTGATGTCCAACCTGATCCTCCCCTGGCACAGCTTGAGGCCGTTGCCTCTTGTCCTGTTGCTCCTTGGGAGCAGATCCTGACCCTCCCCAGCTCCCCCTTCCTGTCAGGGAGTTGCAGAGCCAGAAGGTCCCCCCTAATCCCCCTTTTCTCCAGGCTGAGCCCACCCATCTCCCTCAGAAGTTCTCCAGGCCTTTTTCCAGCTCTATTCCCTCCTCTGGACACGCTCCAGCCCCTCAAAGTCCTTCTTGCCATGCTGGGCCCAGAACTGGACACAGCCCTCCAGGTGTGGCCTCACCCCTGCATCGTTAATTTTCCATCCTTCAACCCAAACTTATCAACTTGCTCCTCCTCCCAGACCCACCAGCCCGACTGCAGAGGAGCAGCCCTCACCAAAACTCCCCGGGCCTGTGCTTTCCTCCCCTCCCAACCCCTCTCCTCTGGGAGCTCTGGAATTCTGACATTTACATTCAAATGAGGCGACCGCACTGGAGATGGGATCACAACCAGAAGTGCTGACAAAACACCTCTTTAATTACCACTTTTCCACCTAAACCTCAGTGGGTTAGTTGTTTTTTTTTTCCCCCAAACCCCTCCCCCCCCTCCCCCTTTTGCTTATTTGAGTTGCTTGAAGATTTAGAGCAGCTCAGGCTTGGAAAAACGCAGGGATTGGGTGGGAGAGCTCAGTCCCACCTCGAGAGCTGGGAAGAGCCGATGTTTGCTCCCTGCTCTTATCCAGAAAAGATCCAAAAAGGTTTTCCAAGAGGCAGAGGTGCCACCCACTCCCAGCAGACAGGTGAGAACTTGAGCAGCAGCTCGCACCTGCTCGGGGCAGGAAGGGAAAATCAGCATCACCTTCCCTAAGGAACACGAGGCTAAAGGGATTTAGGGAACCCTACAAGGTTTCCTGGGATTAGCAGTGTGGAAAGCACGTGGATGTTGAGCCTACGAGGATGATGGAGGTGGGGCACCAATGTCAGAAGGACTTGGAGATGCTGGAGAAGAGTCCAGAGGAGGCCATGGAGATGCTCCAAGGGTTGGAGTCCCTCTGGAGCCAGGCTGGGAGAGCTGGGGGGTTCACCTGGAGAAGAGAAGGATCCAGGGAGACCTGAGAGCCCCTTGCAGGGCCTGAAGGGGCTCCAGGAGAGCTGGAGAGGGACTGGGGACAAGGGATGGAGGGACAGCACACAGGGAATGGCTTCAAAGTGAAAGAGAAGAAATTTAGATGGGATATTGGGAAGGAATTCCTGGGAGGGTGGGCAGGCCCTGGCACAGGTTGGGCAGAGAAGCTGTGGCTGCTCCATCCCTAGAAGTGTCCAAGGCCAGGTTGGAGCACCCTGGGCTGCTGGAAAGTGTCCCTGCCCACGGCAGGGAGTGGCACTGGATGGGGTTTAAGGTCCCTTCCAACCCAAACCATCCTGGGATTCTGGGATATTTGGTCTCTTGCGGCTCGAGATGCCCCAGGAAGGAGATCACAAATCCCCTGGGATTCCTCAGAGGACAAACACATGGCTGAGGCAGGGAAGAATTATTACAATCATGTTGCTTTATGAAGAAAAATAAAGCCAGTGCTTTGCTGCCCAAGCTCCAAACATGATCCCAGCCCTCCCTCCCCACCCACCAGAGGAAAAGGCATTTATTTATTCCCTACAAACAGCTCACCCCAATTCCAGCTCACACAACACCAATTTAAGGAGAGACCATCCCAGTCCCCCCTTCTCCTTCTTCCAGATACACCTGAAAGCCTGGATCCCTTTGGATAAACCAGCTCCTTGGCCACTGGGAGCACAAGGCACCCTCTCTGCTGACACCAAGCCCTGCAACATCCCCAGGACAAGCCCAGGCAGGTTTCCCTCTGCCCAGGATCCACCCAAAACTATGCAGAGGCCTCGGGAAACACACCTAGCACGGAGCAGCAGCAAGGTGGGAAGATGGGAGGCAGGAGGAAATGAAGGAGGGTGTTTTTGCCTGCTCGGGAGAAGTCACTGTCCCAACTCTGTGGTGCTGGGAAAAATTCCACTGCTCTCCCCAAGGAACGTGGAGA